TTCTACTTTAGGCAAAGACAAAGCATCCGAAGATGATAAAGGTCCACGCTGCCCCTCCCTACAGTCAGCCTTAACAGCTATCTGGAGACACACAGATCACAGATGACAATATTTCACGACGGACACTTGGACATAAAAATGACCCTTAGCTGAACTCCAGCCGAGCCACAAATATGCTCAGTCTGATTTAGATGCTTTCCCCTCGCAGCATCCTCCTGGCAGAAAAGCAGAGAAGAAGAACAATAGGACAGTAAAATGTATCCTAATTCCAGCTGGAGATCCTAATTCAGTTCAGAGACGGTGAGGAAATGGGCTTGCGAGAGCAGACCCGGCAAATACGCGGCGGATAAGAACGATTATCCCGCAGATGAGCGGAAAGATGAAAACTAATTTAATAATAAGACCAGAAAATTCTGCAAGATAACGGGGATCTAGAGACCAATCCAAGGACCATCTGGCTTGTACTGCACATGCATGTGCCGTTTTCTGCAGCAGGAGGGCCCCCATTTATACTGGTGGTGCTAAAAGCTCAGAAGAAACAGTCTGCACAGTTGCACATTAATATTGTATTTCTCTTAACACTCTTCATACAGCAATTTTAAGATGCTTTTAGCCGTTTTATATTTGGGTTATGAGCTCAACACCAACAGTTACGTACAAATGGAGGAGCTCTGATCAAGTTTCTTGTGGCTAACACGGATGGTGATCCTCACCGCCTATGATTTCTTATTCTCGGCTCAGAAAAAGAGATTAAAAAATGTGCTTTGGTTTCTGTCTTAGAGGTAGTTTGGAATCCAACCAAAAATCAATCCATTGCAAGATCTTCGTAATTTATGGATCAAAGCATATCTTTAAAACTCGTACCTATAAAAAGGTGAATCATAGTGAATACTGGCAGCTGCTTTGCAAAATGGAGGGAGTTTATAATATTGATGCATTCAATAACAGAAAATATTTTTATGGTTTGACCTGCATGTTGCGAATCAGAGAAAATTGGTAGAGTATAATCTTTGGTAAGTTGCTTGGTGTATCTCTAGCTAAGAAGCAAATCAACCATTTTATGCTTTTATAAAGGCATAAAAAAAGCCTTCTTTTTATTTCTACCCATCCATTCATTGTCGTTGGAATATCTGAGATTGGGTCACGGAGGTAACGGGTAAGGGAAAAAATCCCAAATATCCCTTCCCACCTCATTCAGAGGGTTATCAAACCTTTCCCAAGATTGAAAGTATAAACAGTCACTCCAGTTAGTTTCTGGCCTCTGCTGCTATTCAGCAAAATAATGTTTGATTTTAATTTGCAGACTGCATTTCAGGGGTATTGGAAATGCAGAAGCTGATAACGGAGGTTAGAGAGGCTCTTTGATCTGATTTCTACAAATTTCCCCAGTAGACCTATTTGTTCTGCGAAGGTAGGCGGTGCAACACAGAGTAACATTCTCACGAGCGTCAAAAACTAATACTTTCCTGCACAACGTTGCACAGTTTGGAAGCAAATCAATGTTTATCACTTCACCTGCAGTGGTATTAATGTTTTGTCCGTACGGCGCACACCTGGGTGGAGAAAGGAGGCTTATCCTCAGGAAGTTCAAGCTCTTTTTGCAAAAGCATTTTGCAAAATACAATATATTTGCAGAAGGATTTTCAGATAGACTAGAATTAGAAAGGTATTGATATACTTTTACACTAAGCTGTACACCCTGTGACCACATGCAGCATAAGACTGCAGCATTTTATCGTGTATGTTCAACTAACAGAATGTGGAAAACCAGCGTCAAACCCTAAACAGCTAATAACACTAATCAGTGTCTGTAAGAATGGTACAGTGTAAGAATGTTGCATTTCTGTGACATTTAGTTTATTTAAATTTTTGTCCTCTGCATTGAGCACAAAATAATGTCTAAAGCTTTAAAGCAACAGGTCGTGTGAGTTTTGATGCTATTTTTCTAGCCGGTAGGAACTGGCTATGCTACATGCTACCTCGTTCTTAACAACAAGGGCAGATTTGGTTTTAGCAGTTTTTTTTTTTTATTTTATTTTGTGTCTAGAGAAATAATAAACAATCCCAAAACTTTGGAAGACGTAGCTCATGGGAGTTGTAAGGTGATGTGTTTCCTTTTCTAACTTTCTGTTGCAGACAACTGTACTACTTTGGCTAATTTGTGTGTGAAAGGAACAAGTGAAGAGATATGGTTTCTGCTGAGTTACATTTTTGCTATGTCTCCTCTAAACATATATAAAAATAAATCCCTAAAACTTTAAAAGAATGATGTGTTTTTAACTCATGCTCATAAAGAAACAGGTGGTGAAGATTGGATATTTGTGTCCTGATTAAAGCAATCCCGATATAATAAACAACTTCTTGAGATTTCAGCTGATAGTTTTCCAAGTTTTTGTAAACTATTCTGACGCAGCTAGCACCACAACTTCTGCTTGTTTGATAATAAACAGGTACAGGATTTGGTTTCAGTTGTGCTCTGATCTTTATTTTTATTTTACTTTCAATTAGGCCATATGTCAACAAAAACAACCGGAAGTTGAATTAAAGTTCAACTTATTACTATGGGCACTGTGGCTGACAAAAAAAATGTCTTTCCTGCAGAGTGTAAAGATACTTTGCTGCCCATACGCTAATAATTATGCTTCATAAATCATTTTGCAACCTTAAATATTTCCCACTTTTTTCTTGTGTTATTAATTCTACAAATAACTCTGATGTTTTAAACCAGCTGATGATAAAAGGTAATGAATTCCAGCTTCACACCATTCCTTCTTCAGTAAAGTAGCACTAACCTTGCAGCTACGTTGTTACTAAACCTGAAGAAAATACCGAGCGTACGGACAGAAAAGTACAAGAAAAACTAAACGGTTAGATTCGTTTGCATTTCTACGCAGTAACATTTATGAGCTTTTTCCTCCAGTTAGATGTTAAAGCAGAATCTTTGATTTCACTCAGTTTCCTTAATATATATTTACATAAAAATATGCACGATGCTCCAAACATGTATTTTATTTTCTGAAAAAAATAAATAAATACCTGTAGGCTGCTGGTCTTTGAACGACTCTGAAGATGAGAGTCGTGATTGCACTGCCAACTCTTATAAAAGAAGGATTAGTCCCCATATTTGTGCCTTATCTTAAACGTTTTTATGAGGTTTTTGTACTTATTTACATGCCAAAACTGGCATATCTTTGATCTATCAGTTTGGGCCTTGGCAGAGCAGCAAAAAGGCATATTTGTGTAATGTATACTTTTCCTGGGGACTTATTACAATGCAAATTACCTTGTCACATTGATGCTGATCTCAAAACTAAAAGCATAGGTTTTTAAGCCAGGCTTTCTGAAATAAAATGCAGAGTTCCTTCCTTCCCACGCAGTCTGTGAGGAGTCTTTTCATTTGTTTTGCATTTTATATAGGACAGTGGGAATATGCGCAACTCTGTAAAAACTCTGCTGCGTCCCAGTTTCTGCAGGTCTGTGTGTTAACAGGTTATTGATATACATATTACCATACAGGTGCACCAAACCTGCAGACATAAGGAAATATTTTTTAAGCAGAGAAAGATTCAGACACAGCTGATATGCATTTCCCACTAGAAAGTATTCAGACTTCTTCATTGTATTCTCTTCACAATGATCTCCAGAAGCATCTATCCTTTCCACCCCCCACCAAAAAAAAAGGCTTATTATCTTTCAAAGGTATTCACAACCATGGCTTAACAGTTTAATAACCGTTGGCAACCACCTCAGCGTCGAGGCTTCTTGGGTGTGCGTCTACAAGCTCGGCTCATCTGTTTTGGGGTATTTTCTCCCTGCAGATCGTCTCGCGCTCCGTCAAGGTTGAATGGGCACCGTCATTAGATGCCAGTTTTTAGTATTTCCAGAGATGTTCATTTGGATTCAAGTCTGGGCTCGGGTTTTGCTATGCAAGGACGGCCACAGCCTGCTCCTGAAGAGCTCTCCTAGTCCTCTGTTGCCTTGGCTGTATCAAGCAGATTGGAAGATGAATCATCAAGTCTTTTGGAGCAGGTATCCTTGAAGAATTTCTCCATTTGGCTGCTGCCATTTTACTTGCTATGGTGTCTAGTAACTTATTTCTCATTCCTGTCAGCATAATGGTGGTGTTTTTTCTCCATACCCAGCAATGAAAGTCCAGTCAAAAAGGTTCTATTTTGATTTCATTAGACTAAAGTTATGTTTTATTTCTCTTAGTCTAACATTCGCTAAGTTCTATTTTGGACAAATTTAAGCAGGCTCCTATGTATGTGTATTAAGGAGCAGCTTATAGGTCTTATAGGTGGTGAGTGTCAGAACTGGTTGAACTTCTGGACGGCACTTCTAGCTCCGCAATTGAACAAAACTTCACTAATGTGACCGATGTGTTCTTGCTGACCTCTCTGATCTTTTTCCCCAGTTCTGATGAGGATACTGGTGGTTTCAAACTTCTTCCATTCCAGCTCTGATGCTAAAACTCTTATTTGTTTCCATACGTGTCTCACTCCTCCCAGCAATATCTTCCTGCAATCGGAATAATTTGCCTTTTTCCCCAGACATCCCCTGCTCATGTTTGAATCCTGGGTTTTAGGCTCAAACTTTCTCTGCTTGCGTGTGAATTAATCAAGTTGATCAAGAAAACAAACTGTTCAGTTCCGGATGTGAGCAGAAGCAACTGAATTTACTCCGTGTTCTCTGCAAGCAGCGTCAGAAGGATGATGAGTATAACTTGAATGCAATGGTTTTCAGTGTCATTGCAAAGGGTATGATGAACATTTTGATGCCTGTTATGTTTATATGTTAGTGTTTTTTTGTTTTTTTTTTAAACTTACCTAAATCTCTGAAAACAAGTTTTTTGAGAAGGTCTTTTTTTTAGAAAACTGGATCTATTTACAACATGTAGTAAAACTTGGAAGAAGCAGAGGGGTGTGAATGCATTTTGGCAACACTTTAACTCGCAGCTCTCGACTGTTGAGCTTCGATAACCCGTGTTACGGATCACTCACCTTGCCGACGTAAAGAGGCTCGTTTCCTGTGTACTCCTCCAAAACGAAGAACTGGTTCCATACCCAGCTGCGTTTGTTCCTGTGCAGGGCCTCCCAGGAGTCCGGATCAGAGCGCAGGGACTTCTCCCCGTCCCCAGAGCTGGGACTCAGCCCCCAACAGCAGCAGCCTCTCCCCCGCAAGACAAACAGGAGCACCAGGAGAGCCAGGGCTCTGCATATGCCTGAGCAACACCAACCCATCGTCTGGGCTCCCCTCCAAAATGCACTGAAGCAAGAACAGGAGCAAAAATTAAAAAGAACTGAAATGTCAAAACCCTTGGGCTTTTATCCGAACAGTCCGGACTCTGCGTTTCACAAGAAAGCAGCAGCAATTGGACCCTGAAAAGAGCAGACGGGTTGAAAATGACTCAAATTCTGCATTTTTTTTTTTTTTGCTGTACAACTTCCTGTTTCTCCTTTATCGGAGAGGGGAAGTGGGATTATTGCTGCCGCTGTGGACCCAGAGAGCTGGCCGAGAGGTTCACCGGGGACTTGACTGGGGGGCTTGGACACTGACTCTTTGTAATTGGCACCTATCAGAACAGAAAAGAAGGGAAAGACAAAGACAGAGGAGAGAAGAGAGAGGAGAGTCAGCAGAATTGCCTCTATGACCGCAGTCACTTCTGACGGCGCGTAATGGGCCTGCCGATGCAATGATAATGGCATTTTTCCAGCAATCCTAAGGAAATAGGTGAAAGAATGAATAGAGCGGACAGGCAGTAAATGCAATGCACACACTCTCACCTACAGATGCTGCAAAGAGAATCAGGTGAGGTCAAAGTGTAAGATGGAGGAAGAAATGACAGGGCTTCTCAATGGATGCAAGCAAAGATATTTCACACCGAGCGAGACGACGACAGCATAACAATCAAACGCCATTCAGCAGCCTAACAATTATCCAGGCCTCCTCTCACCAAGGTCATTATTTTGTCATATTTTCTCTTTCTATAAGATGATAGCGACGGTGAATGGGACTCGCCACTCGACTCTAACAAGCCACACGATCTGAGCGGCGCACGCTCTCATCACCGTGATTAAAAAGAAATCTGAGCTGTCAGCGGCATGCGTGGAGGCCCGGCGATCCTGACCTCCACTCCAAGTGGGAAAAAAAAAACCACGTTGCTCCGGCTGGAGAGCAAAAGAGGGTGTGGAGGGGCAAGAAGGGGCTCGGGAGGCGTGGGGGTGGGGTTACGGGTCTGTCTCGCTGCCATCAACGGGCCACGACAGACTCCCAACCCCCCTGATGACGCCGGAACATGACGACCTGTCAGAGCCGAGGACAGCGGCGGGCTTTGACAGATAATGTTCTTCATGTCACAAAGCATCCTGGGAACTTCATGTGACGGCTGCTGTTATCAGTCCGTTTGAGGTGCAACGGTATCTTCAGCAGCACATCCAGAGCCTCGCGAAACATATTCATCTTGTCACATTTTACGTCCTTTAGCCACAAACTGCTGTGTATTTTAATGGGATATTGAGTGATAAACCAACACAAAGAAGTGCATCATTTTGGAATAGATGGAAAAGGTTTTTCACAGCCGGAGAGTCAAATTAAATGGAGAGCATGTAGGAACATCAATTTTAATACGTAGATGGATGTTGTGGCCTGAACCGTCTCGTTTTAGCTCTGACTGTAGGTTTAGGTTTGTCGTCTCTGGTTGTTCACGTGTTTGATGTGTTCCAGACACCAGCAGGCCCCGACCCTTCTTGGAACATGGAACGCCTTTGTGGAGGGCATCGTTTTACAGATCGGTGAGTAATGAGCGCAATGTTAGGGAAGCATTCAAAATGGAGACCTGTTAACAGGCATTAAAGCCATCTGTCCTGGCAATCACAACGTTCAGTGCTTTGGTGTTTTTTTTTTTTGCATATTTTTTGGCTCTAGCTTTTCACATGCAGCAACACCTACTAGCATAGCAGCAAGGCAAGCGTGCAACAGGTGACTCTAATGGACAATGCTATTGCGCAACAACGTGAACTTCTGATTGTGTACAATAAAAGCTGATGTTAACAGAATACATTTTTTTAATGAAACTGTATGATTGTCAATTAATTTTTAAAACTTAATTAAATTTATAAATACATTTGTTAAAAGGCAGAAGGATCTGCCTCTCTGCATGACGCTCTCCTTTTATGGGTGTTACACTAACAGCACAACGACCTTTTCAGACTTTCATAACTAAAGCAGAACCATGCATCTGTTTCCATCCACTTCACAAATATGCACTTGTCTCGTGTTAAACAACATAGCTGAAGCTCCTAGCTGATAAAATGTGCAAAAGGTCAATGGGTGTGAATATCTTTGCATGGAACCGTGATCCGAAGGTCTATGTGCGAACGTGAACTTCAGGATGGCGTTTTCTGACCACGCGTGCGTATGTTTGTTTCCTCTCTGACCTCTCTTTGTCTCTCCTCTATGTAGAGTATTGGCACAGCCCTGGGTGAGAAAGGTAATTGCTTTGGCATACAGTGACCTCTTTCTTCCCACACAGATCCCTTCCACTTCTCATTTTACTTCCTCTCCGTTCCCCTCAAGCAAGAACGAAAGGAAAAAAAAAAAAAAAAAAACGCACACCACACACATCCTGTGGAAGTGATTTGTTGTACTTCACCACAGGAAAGTCATTAGGCAACGCTAATAATTAATACAGAAATAAATCACAGCTGCAAAAACACCTCTGCGCAGAGACAGCTGAATGTTTGCAAGAGAAATCCTCACCGGTTGCAGATTTCCTTGATATTTGCGTGTATTTTCAGCCCACATGCTATGGAGGGAAAAAAATAAAATAAAAATACATGAACTCATCCCAATCGACTGAAAAAGTCGAAAAATATGGACACATTAACACACTCTTTATTGCGAGTTAGTGGCAGAGGTGAAAAGTGGAGCAGATGTGGCTGCAGGGCAACACGACTCGCGAAGGCCGGCCACAGCGCTGGTTGTTGTTCGACGGGGTCGAATCGAGCCAACTTAATGCATGTCATTTTGCTAAAGCACCAACGTGAGAGAGAGGAGATGGGAGCCTCATACAGATGGGAGATAATGCAGCCGTGGTGCACAAGAAGTGGGCTCACTAAAGCAGATATTGGCTTTTTATTTAATGAGTTTCTTCTGATTTACCATCGAGTTGATTTTAATTTATTAGGCGTGTCATGCACCGAGGAAATCGATGTTTTATTTTTCTTCTTGATGCGATTTATCATTTTGGAGAAACAAAGCATGAAATCCAGATGAAATATTTGACTGGCAAAAAAACAAAAAAAAACAAAACAAGAACGACAAGATCTTTATGTAGGCTTAAAAACTTCTCAGCATTAGTATAAAAAAGTACAATCTTGATTTAAAACGTAAAGTAAAAGACTCATATCTAATTGTGTTATCACAGTAGATGAGTTTCTATCTTGTTTTGTGCAAGAATGATAGGTGTTGATAGGAAAAGGCTTAATTTCTTCGGAGAAAAAAAAAGTGTGACTGTGGAGCCAAAAGTCTTTGCTGCTGGCAAACTGCAGTGTCTTCTGTCACTTTTTAAAGAGAAAATAACTTAAATATGCCTTTAAAGAGACATAATGCTTCCTCTTTTATGAGGTTGTTCTACCCTGCATGCAATGTTTTAGTGCCAACAGGTCCAAATTTAAGGACTGCAATAAACGAGCCTCTAACATTTAATTGAAATAAACTATCAGCACAAAATACAACCAACTGTGGCTACTTTTTTTTCTGGTCCTGTTGAAAAATACCACAGCATCATGTTGCCACCTCTATGTGCAGAGCAGATCCATCTCAGTCACATTGAACTATTATTTCTTATTTTACTGTCGCAATAGTTTTTTTGTTTGTTTTTTTATATATATCTTGCATTGTGAATGAATAAGTGTGTTGACAGATGGAGGCTAATTCATGCAGGCACATTCAAGAGTTTTGTTTCACTTTTCAAAGAAAGAATACCGTATAAATCTGCTTTTAGAGAGACATTTTGTTTCCTGCTGAATAAGGACGATCTCTCTGAGAAGGTCTTTCCAGTTTTATGCTTTCAAACCATCTAAATGTTCCTGTATGACAAGTTTGCTGGGGGGGGATAAATCAGACATTGTCATGATGTATCATCAACTCTGGCTAACTTCCTTTACCTTACTGAAAAACACAACAGGCACCCAGCGTGGTGCCATCACTTCCGAGTTTCATAGTGGAGTTGGCAGCACAAGCAGTGAAAAATGTCTCAAGGTATTATGACATTGTACAAAGGGAGCTTCCTACTTTTCAAGTATCATATCCAGGTTTTCTACTACACATCAGTTTGTTGAGCAAACGTCTTGAACATTTATATGCAACTGATTTATTCAACTTTTACGAAGCGACAGCATTTTCAATCTTTCTTTTAAAGAGACAATTTGTTCTTTTTTAAAAAAATATATATTTGCAATGTTCTGCTTCCAAACCCTCAAAATATTTCTAACTTTCAAGATTGCAAAGAAAAAAACAACTTAACTTTTCAGCTTTCGCTTAAATATATTCGAGACAATATAGCCATCCTCGTCACTTTCTTAACAACCCCAGAGCATAATGCTGCCAACGCCTGGGGACTGTGGCTCAAGTACGACACATTAATCAGAGAAAGATGCTGAATTTCCATCCTTTCAGACATCACCAGAGAGTACCAACAATCTGACGCTGGGTGAGTCTGGCTCAGCATTGGGCCACCTCCAGAGACTCATCGCTGACCAGTGTCAAAGTGATGTCATTAAATTAAGTGAAAATGTGAGCCAGAGCTGTGAATGTAAAGCGTCTTCCAGTCTTCCTTTGGCTCTGTTTCTCTTGCTCTAATCCCATTTTCCAGCCTCACAACAGGATTACCAGCACCGCAGCTCTCACTTTAGCAATCGCACGCCCTCTCCTATCCGTCCGCTCATCCATCACTTGGAAGGTGAAGCGGGAAATGCCATGAGAAGTTGTGCAAAGTTTAAGCTAAATATGTTTTAGGGCAGCTCCTAAATCAAGATTCTTCTCTCTCGTATTTTTTTTGTTTTTTTTTTTGTTTCAGGTAACGAGTGCAACACACCAGCGATGCTTTTCTCTTTGTTCCTGAAATAAAACAAGTAGTCGCCACATAACTGTAATAACCGTAATAAGAAGATTCATTGATTTTTACTGTCTGCACAAGTTTCCGTGTTATCCTTCAGGTTATTTACATCACACACACACACACACACACACACACACACACCGAGGGAGAGAGAGAGAGAGCAGACTCATGCTGAGCCAGAAGCTTGAACCTGAGCCCTCTGGCTGAAAGGATCCTCTCGCTGATTCCTACCATTCCTTCATTGATTTGCTTGAATACAACTTTCTCAACTAGATATGCAACTGATTGAACTTCACAGCAGAATATAAATATGTTTACATACAGAGAGTTATGATGCTGGGAGGTTAAGTTGTAGAAAAAGTAAAAGTCAGTTTGCTCTTATGGAAAAAAAAAAAAAGTATTAAAAAGTATAGAGAAAAGTATGCTTGTTGCCCCCGGTGGTTTTGTGTGAA